AATTAGTATTATTAATAATTAATATTTGAAGGCCTATAAAGTAAACTTGAATGAGGCTAGCTGTTTGAATTTTAATATATTTTAAAACTGTATTTCAAGGCTAGGAAATGTATCTTATTTAGTTGTGGTGACAGACTGGCATATTTTTCTTAACATTTCTCTAGTTAGTCCTCCACAACAGAAATTACAAAAAGAAGGGACATACATTAACCAATGGCACTTATTTAGACTTTGGCTAGAAATGCACGTGTAAAATCTTTTTTTAAAACTGCATTTTGCTGAAGTTAACGTTAAAATTAGTCTTCAGTCTGAGTCTAAGTTAAGGTCAGAAGGAGGCAGCTCGTGGATGGTTCAGGGGTCAAGGAGAAGTAGGTCAGAGGTTCATGCTGATAAAGGGTTGATATTAAAGCGATAATTCTTTTTTTTCTGATAAAGCAATAATTCTAAAGGTATTATGCTACAATCAAATTTAAGGAAACCTAATGTGACCACGCAGCAAAATTTAAAACCTAATTTGCTTCTAGTAATCCCAAAGTAGATTGCCATTCTTTTTCATATGCTGTATCATGACTAGGAAGTATAATCTGAGGAAAATATAATCAGAATATAGCTCAGAATATATACCAGAAAGGAGCTCCAAATGTATTTTTAGATCAGTCTTAATGGAATAATTTACTTCAACATTTTATTTCAGGGTTTCTCAAGTTTTTTGGCATCAGGAACCCTCATACTCTTTATAACTGTACATCAAAGAGCTTTTGTTTATATGGAATATAAGCATTGATATTTATATTAGAAATTAAGACAGAAATTTAAAAATATTAATTCAATTAGACATAGCAATAATAAGCCCATTGCACATTAATATAAATAACACATTTTTGTGAAAAAATAATATTTTCCAAAATAATAAAAAAAAGTGAAGTGGCTTTTTTTTTTTTAATTTGAAGTGTATCCTTTTGTATTTTTACAAATTTCTGGTAGAAGACAATTGGATTCTGTATTTACCCTGCTTCTCCAGTTATTCTGTTGTGATGTCTGTTTTGGCTGAGTATCAAAGAAAATCTAGTCTCACCGACATACATAGTTGAAAATAAAAAAAGATGCATTTAAAAGTCTTTTCAGGTAATTGTGGATATTATTCTTTGATATTATACCAAAACTTGACAAGCGGTAGTTTCTTAAAGGTTAGTTGTGGGATCTTAAAGTATATCAATGAATGAAATTTTCCTGCTCTACTATGGTGAAATTCATTGCTGTGTCTTGCATTTTGAATCAATCTTTTACCCATTCATGACAATGTCGTCCACTGGTCATTTGGAAAATGTCAGCTCATTTGAATTATGCAGACCTCCCAAGTGTTGACACATTTTGCCAGCAGTGAAAAAGGCCAGTAACATCTTAGTATCAATATGAAAATAGCTTTGACCTCTTGGAAAGTGAAAAGATCCTGGGGATTCACAGGGGATGGCAGACCACATTTAAGACAATCCCTGTTGAGAATCACTTTGGGGACTTGGAGAATCTGAATGACTAGGTGGTGTGTAGGAGCACATCTGTATACTTTGATATTTTTCTCACAGTTTTGATGTTTACCCTTGCTTCATGCAGAACTCAGGAGTGCACACGAAAGAAACTGTACATGAAAGCGTCTTGTAAAGTAAAAAATTTGTTTGATCAGTACTTAGCCAGATACAGTAATGTGCTTTACAAATTCTTATCTTTCTGCAGTTTTATTAATGTGTGAATATTACATGATGCAAACAAACATGATGCATGTGAGCAGAAGATTATGCATTTGAGCCTAAAATACAAGTCTCAAGCTTGGCTTTTGCACTAAAAAATAAAAGAAAAAACAAAAAGGTCTTAACCATCTTTCTTGGACAGCCAACTCCTCATAAGTGTTCTCTCTATGGCTACTGACTCCTCTCTTAAGGGCATATCAGCACTGTAAAACAGTGACTTTATTTACTGTGGATTCAAAGTAATATTTAATTAACTTGAATTTGCTAATAAAAATTATAACCTACTTGAGCATTAAAAAAGGTTGTTAGTAAAGAAAGAAAGTGAAGTTGCTCAGTCATGTCCGACTTTTTGTGACCCCATGGACTGTAGCCCACCAGGCTAGTAAGTGTTGATTTAATGATTAGAATGTTAAAGCTTTTTTTCTTCAGGGAAAAAACAATTTGCAATTCTCTTTTTGATTTTCAGGGCCATGCTTTATGACCCAAAGATCATACAGAAGAAGTAGGAAAAGTAACAAATGCCCCTTTGTCAGGTGTATTTTGAAACTTATGATAAAGTCTCCAGCTGACCAGCAGTTCCTCCCTAACTGCGATGGCCTGGCAATGCACTACTTGTCGAAAGGTTCAAAGTTACTCAAGAGAAAGGCCAGTGGGTCCAGGGGTGAAGCACCAAGACACAGGTTAAGAAATGGCAGGAGAGTCTCCAACTTCCAACAAAGCTGATCCCAAGCAAAGGCTGGATGCCAGCCTTAGCTGCTTCCTTCATGCCCTGCTTCTGGTCCATGATTCCAAAGATGGGGAAAGCACATCTCCCTATACAGGACCATGGATACAGGACCATGCATACAGGACCATGCATACAGGGCAATATATCTTCCTGAAGGACTGGGGTACCTACAATTTTATATTATTTAATAACATTTTCATATTACAAAAGTGCAGGTTTTAGAGGATAGTGCAAAGTTCACATTAATCATAAGATAAAAAAGAAACGGTCATGGTGGCAGATTTATTCTATGGCGTGATACATCTAGTGTTTATTCTCTGCTGCTGGAGGATTCCAGTGGAAGAGTTTGGGGAGCACCATTTATTTACACCCTTTTTGAAGAAAAGCTGTAAAACTGGCAAGCATGCAGCTGGGCTGTGCAGCAAAGCTCTGGCGGTGGTTATCTGCCACTCTCGACCAGAACTCCACTGCTGACTGCTTGTGACACTAATACCACTGGTATACCACTTCTTATACTTTGAGATCTTGTGATGGTTTCAGTAACAGGTCAATTCTTTGGCTAGAAAATAAACTTCTACAAACCACACATTAAGTGAGAAACGCCCAGTTTAAAGGAATGTAGTATTAGTCACAAGCATCTTTAAAATTACTTTCAGCAGTTTGAAAACGCCCTGGACACACAAGATTACTTGTAATGCAAAATTAAAATGTACTTTAACAATTAATTGTGGCTTCTAATAAGTCAGAGAAATGAGGGTTCAAAACTTAATTCTGATTTTCTCTTAAATGTCAAGCCCCTCAGACTAAAAATGCTGTTGGTATTTACACCCTACTTCAGTGACCCATGAGGGTTAAAACAGATGATCCGTCCTAGAGAGGACTGGGCAGCCCATTTAAGGAAATCCAGAGCACCTTAGAGTTCTACTTAAGCCCCGGGACACCGGTCTTTTTAATGCTTTATTTTACTAAAACAATAACCTATGAAAATGAATAGACTTTTGAGAGTCACACTCTAAGCGGGCTGTAAGATGAAGAGCTAATGAACACTGCAGACAGAGGGGGGAGCAACAGGCCTGGGTTATTTCCCTAGGGCATAATTAGGAGTTCAGCAGATGAAGTTCATGCAGTAAATGGCGTAGCAATAACTGCATTTTCACTCCACCCAATCACTTTCTTGCCTGCTCTGCTGCCCTTGCTTTCTTCATTGCCCTCTTAATTCACTACCAGCTAAAAGTGACAACGTTGCTTCTTAAAGCATCTTCGGCCATTACCAGTTCTCTATGCAGCCTTGTTTAAAAATTCATGGTTTGGGGGTTCCGCCACACAGAGAAAACGACTCTGTCCCCGGGAAGCAACCTCCGAGCTCCAGCCTCCCCTCCGCGGAGCTCTATCCGAGTGTGAGGGCCGCATCTGCGGGGAGCGCGGCTCGGAGGCCGCTCCCACGGCCCAAAACCAAGCAGCCAAGAAACCACAGCGCAGTCCTGGGCGAGTCTCGGCTTATCCGAGGTGCAGATCGCCCGTGGAGCGGAAGCCTGAGGCCGCTGCTCAGCGAGCCCACACCGGCTGCAGAAGCCGCAGCGGGCGGCCCCGGACAGCGCCCAAAGAGGCCCGCATTCCCCCGCCCGCCCGAGAGCGGCCCAACGGCCGCCCCGTCAGCCTCGCCCCGCCTCAAGGGGCGGGGGCCGGGCCGGGCCGGGCCGGGCCGGGCCGGGCCCGCCCGGACCGGAGGGGGGCCCGGCGGGGGGCCCGGCGGGGCCGCGGCGCCGGGCACCCAGGCCCCGCCCCCAGCCCCGAGGGAGCTAGAGGAGAGGGGAGGGGAGGGGAGGAGCGACGCACTCGGGCCGCGCCTCACGCTCTCCGCCACCCTCAGTCCCGCGTGAGCGCGCGCGCTCGCCCAAGTCCCGCGGAGTTTAACACAATGCCGACGCCTACGCCGTGCGCAACGCCCCGGCCGGCGCAACAGCTCGGCGCCGGGGGCGGGGAGGTGGCCAGACAGGGCGAGGGGAAGAGCGCGCGCGAGAGCGGGAGACAGCGCGAGACCCGAGGAGGCCGGAAGCGCGCGTGCGCGCCCCCGCCCGCGAGCGGGGAGGCGGAGCCGCAGCAGTAGCGGCAGCAGCTGTAGGAGCCGCTGCAGCTGGGAGAAGAGCCAGAGAGGCCGGGCCTGCTCCGGTCCGACCGGATCCCTCCCCTCCCCCTCCCTCCCCGCTCCCCTCCCCCAAACCCACTTCCGCAGCTCGCGGCCTTGCCGCTGAAGCAGCAGCGGCGGCGGCGGCGACAGCAGGAGGCGGCGGCGAGGCGTCGGAAGGATTACGCACCTGACGGGCCCGCCTCTCGGGGCTCCAGCGCGGGACGCTCACCGGCCGCCGCCGTTCGGGACGCGCTTCGCGGTGGCGGCGGGAAGGGAGGGACCGGCGACGGGGAACGGAACGCGAATCGCCCCCCTCCCCTTCCTCCTTCCCTCCCTCCCTCCTCCGCTCCGCCGCCCGCCCTCTCGGCTTCCGTCCCCTCCCCCTCCCGCAAAGCCCCGGATGGAGCCGCCGCCGACTCGCCGCCGCCTGGCTCCGGGGGATGGTTTTGTCAGGCGGCCAGAGCCCCGGCGCCAGGCGCCGCCGCCCCCGCCCCCCGCGGGGCGCCCCCGCGCCCTCGCTTCCCAGAACCGGGTCCCCGTGTGGCCCGGGCCCTCCGCCTGCCTTCACCCGAAGCCCCGGGACTGGGGGGTGGGGGTCATTCGTCTTCTTTGTTGCCACCGCCGCTGCCGGAACCGTTTGCGCGCTCCGGTGGCCCCCGCCCTCCGCCTTCCCGGAGCCCGGGCTGTGGGGGCGGCACGTGGGCACCGGCCCCGGGAGGCGGCGGCGGTGTGCGCTTACCTGTCGCCGGTGCTGCTGCGGCGGGGAGGGGGGGCGGTGTGGAGGAGGCACCGCTGGGCAGCCTTGGCCGTGCTCCCCGCCGCCGCCGCCGCCTCTGTCTCTCGCTGCTGCTGCTGCTGCCGCCGCGGTCGGTGTCTCCGGCGCGGCGGCGGCGGGGCTTTTCCTGTCCGGTTACGTTAAGGTCACATGACCGAGAGAGCGGAGCGACTAGTGCAAAGAGGCTGAGAGCGGCTCCCGCCGGGGGGGAGAGGCGGCGAGAGAGCTGTGGCGGCAAGAGCCCCCTCCGCCCCCCCCCCCCCCAGCCGCCTCCCCTCCCTCCGCCCGCCTCCGCCTCCTGCTGCTCTGCCGCCGCCGCCACCGCCGCCGCCTGCAGCACTAAGTACTGCCGCTCCCACCCAGGCTCCGCGCTACGCTCCAGCCAAACTTCTGCAAACCATGTGCAGCCGAGGCGAGGAAACTTCTCTCCACCTATTGGGGCTGGAGGCTTGAGTCACAAGCCCCATGTTTACATAAAGCGTTAGGTAGGACGCTCCTGGAGATGCTCCGGGAGGGCTCGGAGAACTTGTGCTGGGATCCTTCTGCAAGCGGCTTGCTTGACATCTCTCTGCCCGCACCTTTGTCCCTCTGCTGCCCGTATTAGCATACGTTTTAAACCTTAAGTCTTGCAACGGACTTGAGAATGAATCAAGGAGTTCATTGTGGAATTACTAATACTCCTTTTTTTTTTTTTTTAAAGATCGCCAGTGGTAGTCAGGAAGTCATGCTGGAATAGAAATGCTTGTTTGTGGTGTGTTTGGAGATAGAACTGCTTCCTTACTGACCGGTTGAGTGTGAGACGTTTGTGTTAGGATTTAATTTGATGCTTGTGGCAGCAGTTGGTGAAGCTTTGGTCCAGAAAAAGCGAAGTCTGCAAAGCATGTTTGTTACTTAGGAACTATTTAGATTCTCAATTTTTGGTCTCTGAGATACTATTAGAGTGGATTCTAGAGTTGGCCATTCTGTCAAATTTATTAGAGGTCCTGAAACATGGTAACTGGACAGGCATGGAATTTAATATTGTTTGATGGTCATATTTAACATCTTAAGATTTACTTTTGCTTCGTTGCCATTTTGCTAGAATCTTATTTATATCTTTAGAAGTATGGTGTTGTCCTTTGAGGAATGCATTTAATGATCTCTTTGTTTTACTTGTCTAGGGAGTTTGAAGACTTAAGACTATGGCTTCATTTGCTTAGAAATGGAGGCGGCAGTTCCCTGGGCTTCTGGTTTTAAAGCATGCTTTCCTGATTACAAGCTCCTTGATTTGATGTGGAACCCGTTTTGGTTTATTTTATGTAGCCAGACCCACGCACAGTGCCCTGTGACATAGTTCACAAAATAATTCAGGCAAGCTTACTGTCTTAGTACGGAGTTAATTTAACATACAGAAGTGTCTCTGCTAACTGAGTGTGATTTGGTAACCGGGTTGTACCTGGTGCTACTGATGACTAATTTCTTCTTCCTTGAAGACAATACACAGCTGTATAACTTCAGTGGTCCAAAAGTGAGTAATAGATTCAGTACATACCTGCCTTGACCTTTCTCATTCTTGGATCAGCTAGATAAATGACTCGTTGAGTGGCTAAATGTCTGCCTTGCACAACCGAATTCTGACCCTGGTGTAAGTATTTCTGGTGCACTATCACTAAAACATCAAAAGTTGTCAATTAGACTGGTATGTGGGGTTCCTGGGATAGGCTCTGCAGTTGAAATCTGTTTTATCTCATTTGGAAACTAAAGTGATTTTGATTGGTAGACATTGTTAGAGATCTTGGTTTCTTAATTCTCTGAGACTGAACTTTCAAGTTTATGGTCTGATGAGTGCTTACATGGAAAGTGAACTGATGTAAGAAAAACTAAAGGAAAAACTGGACGAAATTTCAGATGAAGCCATTGGGCAGAAACTTGCCTATGTGTCTCAGGTATTTGGCCTTCAGTCGGAGTAACAATGCTTATTCTCAAGATCAACAGGTAGTTTCCCAGTATCTACTCCATATAGTTGTATAGAAATAAATTCAGGGCTTATTCCTGAATCTTTTTTCCTAGAGAAGGTGCTGTCAGGAACATCCTCATTTTCTCTTTCGAAGATGCTGCTCTTGACTTAGAACTGGGCTGCTTTGTTGCTAGTTCTTTGAAGGCATAATCATAGGTACTTGGATTTTGCCAATTATTTTGATTTTTAGTCGTCATCATCAAGTATTAGCATTAAAAGGAAAATATACAGATCTATTTGTTTTCTGTAACTGGTTGAAGAAGAAACATTTAGATGGATTCAAGTGCAAAGGTTGGGGAGAAAACAGTTCTTGCAGAGAAGGGTTAGTGTAGTGTATGTCACAATAAGGTCAGGGAAGCTGTCAGTCTGGTTGTGGGAGAGCCACAAATGCCCTGAGTTAAATAATAAGAAAACTAAGTCATCTGTTTATTTTGTGTACTGATTTATTTTGCATTTTGAAAATAAATTTGGCCAATTAGGGTTTCAAAAACAGTTTCACACATTTTACCTCAAAGAAAATCACAGTGCAAGAAAATAATCTGAATGGATTCATCAGAAGTTATGCATAAATATTCTGCAGACTCTTGTGTTGCTGAAAGTTTTGATATATGTTATACTGAGGTGCAGTCGGAGAAATAATACACTTGATTGTGTTCTGCAGAGAATAGTTCCAGTAAGACAGTGGGCAGAGAGCGATTTAATAGTACTGTATTTCACTTTTTTTTTCAGGGGGTGGGGCAAAAATGTGCACTCAAGTTGAAGATAAAATTTCCTTTAACACTGAGGATGAAAGTAATATTAAGAGGAAATAGTACATGTGGATAGATCCCAAAGCTTTTTTACTGCACACTTTTTTGAAGGATGTCCTATGGGTACTCTCTTAAGTTAGAAAAACGATGCTTTTTACATGCTAGAGTATAAGTCTAGGGTAGATACCACACCTTCTGTGTTTACAGGCTTAACATATCAGTCAGAAAAGATGTATTTTGAGTGTCTCCTACTTTGTTTTTGTTAAAACGTTTATAGAAAATGCTTATTTTATAGTTGGTTGTTATTGAGACTATATTTCTTCAAGGATTCCCTATACTTTAGGAATTTTTTTGTTGTTTAAAACCTATTATTGTAGGCACTTGGGTTTCAAACTTTTTCGGTTGTGGGTCTAAGAAATAACATTTTATTTATTTATTTTTTTTTAGAAATACATTTTATTAAGTGCTACCCGGTACACACACAATGGTGTGGTAGCAGGTGGCTCAGTGGTAAAGAATCCACCTGTCAATGCAGGAGACCACTGGTTCAATCCCTGGGTTGGTAAAATCCCATGGAGAAGGAAATGGCAACCCACTCCAGTATTCTTGCTTGGCGAACCCCATGGACCGAGGAGCCTGGCATGCCACAGTCTGGAGGGTTGCAAAGAGTTGGGCATGACTTGGCGACTAAATAACAATGATACACGTATTTGTAAAGAAACAGTTTTTAGGAAATAGTACTTATTATTTTGAGTGTATTTTCTCCTGCATTTTCTAACCATTAGATTTTTTGTAAAAAATAGCTAGTTATGGTGCCTTAAATTGATTTTGTAAATCACAAATGGATCAGGGTCCACAGTTTGAAAAACACTAGTATTTTAGTTTTTAGTATTAGTTGCTGTTACAAATTGCCCCAAATCTTAGTGGTTTAAAATAGTAAACATTTGTTTATCTCTGAACTTCTGTGGGTCAGGAATCTGAGAGTAGCTTAGTTTAGGTAGTTCTGGGTCGGTCTTTGAGGAGGTGTGTTTGTGTTTTCATTTAATGTCAAGGTGTTGACTGAGAGGACCTGCTTCCGAGGTGGCTCTCACTCGAGCGGGTTAGTGCTGGATGGTTCTCAGTTCTCTGTGGGGCTGCTTGTCCTGTCGACGTGGTGGTTGGCTTCCCCCAGAGCCAGGGACCCAAGCAAGGAGGAAACCACATCAACCCTGCCACAGGCTCTTAGTTAAAAAATCGAGTCACTTGGTTCAGCTCACAGCCAAAGGGAAGGGTATCAAAGAACTTATGACATTTTAATAATTACCGCAGTTCTGTATTAGGGTTAGGGAAAAATGGATGAATTAAGATGGAACCAGAGTTCTTGTTGAAGTCGGTCTATAAGTAATTATAAAGTCAGGCTTTTTTCTGAGGGCATCTAGTCTCCTTCCTCACTCTTAAAATTTGAGAAAAGAGGCTCAAAGAAGTTAAGTGATTAGCCAAGTCCATTCAGTCTAGGAAAACTAAACAGATTTTCTCTGACTTTTGTCATGAGAAAATAATAATCTGTGTTGACAGAGGTGAGAAGATTGGCTGCCTTAAAAAAAAATCTTGCCTAAAAAGGTTATAGTGTAGAACTTCTGTTCTCTAGTTTTCCAGCTTGAACCCTCTCATGTGATTGTGGTTATATTTTCAATTTATTTGGCCTTTGAATAATGCTTGATGTCTTTATGAATTTGCAGTACTCATACCAGTACCCCCATCCCAGCTGATTTTAGAGGAAACAGAAAATTTACTTATTAAGTGAGTTTGAACTCCTTTACTGTTAGCTCTTGTGTTACTGACTGTGAGACTGTGCTGTGTAACTCTCCCAGTTAGCACATTTCCAGGACCTAAAAGAATGTTCAGACTAAAGGATGTGCATGTGAAGAAGACTATACTATGTTTTTCTGCTGTGACGTTTTCTTGGAAACTTTGGGCCTAGAAAGCTTTGTTCTAAAACTGATTTTGGCTTACTGGTACAGGAGTTGGTGAGTCCCTGACGTTGCTAGTGTGAGTGAAGCCAGGAGAAATTACCAGGGCCTGCATTGATATTTTTTTTTTAATCCATTAGGTTTTTCTAATACATGGGGATATAGTAAATCATCTTACACTTTTGCTCTGACAGAATTGGACAGTGGCTTTTTTCTTCGTAGACTGCTTTCCAGTTTGTGTCACCACCAGGACACCTGATGGTTCAGTTCTGCCCTGCAGCACTGATTGCACATACTTCTGTCACCACTCTTCTTGGTGTCTGTTTACCTGTGTTGTAGCCCCAGTCACACTGTAGGGTCCTTACAGGGAGTTGCTTCCATACATACAGCTGGTGCTCAAGTACCTGCAGAACTGAATTTGTAGTTGAAGGGACCCACCTTGATAATTTC